ACTGTTCACCATGTAAGAACTTATTCACTATGTAAGAATTTGTTCACCATGTAAGAACTTGTTCGTTATGCTTCAGAAGATTGGAGACTGTTGAGAATTAGGCTTGGGGTTGTTAACTGATTGTGCATTGAGTCCCCTATACGGAATTTTATTGTTGTTAACATCCATTTGATCAATAAATATGAGAGATGCCCTCTCAAAAAAAAAAAACTGAATAGGGTTTACCAGAAAACTAAATAAATGTTTTAAGTATGTAAATTTATAATTTAGTTAGATATTCAGAGAACCAAGAATAGCTGAGGCAATCCTGAAGAAGAAAAAAGTTGGAGAAGGAGACTTGATATAAAATTTATTATAGAATTGTGCCTATTAAGACAATTAATTATTGACAACCACAAATGGAAACAACCCATGTCTGACAATGGATGAGTGGATAAAGAAGTTGAGATATTTATATATAATGGAGTATTATTTCGCCATGCTAAGGGAAGAAGGAAATCCTGCCATCTGGACCTTGAGGCCATTATGCTAACTGCAATAAGGTAGGCAGAGAAAGTGAAATACTGTATGATTTCACTTACATGTGGAATCTAAAAAAAAGCTGAATCAGAATGGTGGTTACCAGGTGCTGTGGGTGAGGAATTGGGAGATGTTGTTAAAGGGTACAAAACTTGGTACTAGATGAGTAAGTTCTGGCAATCTAATGCACAGCATAGTGATTATAGTCAACTACACACTGCATACTTCAAAACTGCTAAGAGATTAAATTTTAAATGTTCATATTACAAAAAAGAAATGATAATTACCTGAGGCCATTAGAGGTGTTAGCTAAAGCTATGGTAACAATCATATTGTTATTTGATATATAAACGTATCAAATCAACACATGGTACACTTTAAACTTATACAGAGTCATGTATCAATTATATATCAATTTAAAAAATACAACTAGGATGGGCATAAATTTAGATCAAAACCAGATCAATGAAATACAATGGAGATTCCATATACAGACTCACATATATCAGTCACTTGCTCTATAACAAATAGGCTTGTGCAAAATTCTTGAGATGGTACTGCATTAAAGGGAATGCCCAAATGGCCAGCAAACAAAAGAAAAGTTGCTCAACATCACTGTTTAACAGGAAAATGTATATTAAAACTGTAAGATACTATTACAAACCCAGTAATGTGCCTAAAGTTAAGGGGTGGGGGAAATTGGCAATGCTGTGTGTTGGTGAGGATTTTCATGGTCTGTTGGTGAGAGAGTAGTTTGGTACAACCACTTTGAAAAATTTTCCACCATGTATAGTGAAAAATGGAGGTGGCCATGGGGCTAATGTGGTTCTTATTGTCTAGTTAGATTTGGGAGCCAAGGGGCTGCCACCTCCTATGCCAAACTATTGGGAATAGGAAGAATATTCCTCATAGACTTTCTCCTCCAGCTCAAACTCAGGTTTTGGAAAATCCCAGTAACTCATTTACAACAAAGTATTTGATTTTCTGGAAATAACAGTTCTCAGTTTGAAAGTTCTGATGCTGACAAATCATATAGAATTTTTCAAGAGATCTTCATAATAGGTTTTTCTTTCCTTGAGGTCATGAGACTGAATCTACTGGACACCAAAGCAATGGTTACCCATTTCTGGCTGCCCCTCTGCTGCTGGGTTCTTCTCCTCCATGCCACCTGCAGGCTCCCTGCTAGGACAATGAACAAGGAAATCAGCAGGTTCTCTCCACTTGGCTGGCTTCTGGAATTAGTCCAGATCTTCTTACCTGGTGTCAGTCCTGAGGAAGGATAAGTAGGATGACGGCCTCCCTATTTAACCACCACAATGTTTTTCCCTTTTGGCCTGCTATGCTAGAGTTTCAGCTTTAAATATCAGCATGCTCAGCAGAATCCCTAACAACCTTGCTAAGGGCCACATTCCCATGGACCCAGGATTGGATATGCTTTTGATAAAGCCCACATATTATTGGTTATTTCCTACAAAGACCCAAAAAGATGTTTCTGCACCACAGGCTGGCACTCCTAAGCAGAAGATCCTGATAACCCCACCCAACATCCTATTAATTCCTTAGTATTAGGTTTTCCCACCTGCCAAAACTTGGTCATCCCATTTCAAGCTGAAACTTACTATGTTCTCAGATTCTGTGAGCCATACTGTCTGGCTGAGTAAGCTCATGGCATTGTGGTTTCCTCCTTACAGTGTGTTTCTAGCATGACTCATAGAAAAACTGTAAAAAATCCATCAAGTCAGTTGTTGGAATCCATGTGTGCTTTAGAAGGTTTTAGGGAAAATTGTGTCAGGATAGACGATACTTAAAACAATAGATTTACAACATTTCTGTTCAGTACAGCTTTCCTTGGCTATTAGATCTGTTATTATTGTTATAAAGTTGTTATTTAAAGATAAATTTTTCAGTTTGATTTAGTTTAAACATTTCCTCTGAAAATTACACACATTCCCAGAGGCCACAGGGCAGTATAAATAAATTGGGCATATTTGAATCAGTAAATAAATGCATATGTTTCCATCCACTCCAGCACCATGTACCTGGGATATACTCTGAGGAGAGTCCAAAGGAAGGCTCAAGAATTAAATTAACACAGAGAAGCAGGAAAACTCTGCCAGGGACAAGGTGAAGTGGCACACCCAGCTACCTGTGAGATGAGTCAAGCACACCTCAAAGATATGGGGTGGGGCATGTGGCTGGGGAGACTTTGGAATACAATGGGAAGGTTAGTTATTTATTTAAAAACTACATATTTTTTAGAGCAGTTTTAGGTTCACAGCAAAATTAAGAGAAAAGTTCAGAGATTTCCCATTTACTCTCTGCCCCCACATATGCACAACCTCCCCCATTATTAACATCTCCACCGGGGGGTTACATTCGCTGCAACTGGTGAAACTACAGTGACACATCATAATCACCCAAAGCATAAATGACATGTAACTACCATTATAATATCATTCAGAGTAGCTTCACTACCTAAAATTGCTCTGTGCTCTGCCTGCTCACGTGTCTCCTCCCTTTCTTCCTACTGCAACCACTGATCTTTCTACTGTCTCCATAGTTTCGCCTTTTTCAGAGTATAATATAGTTGGAATCAGACAGCATACAGTCTTTTGAGATTGTCTTCTTTCACTTAACAACATGAATTTAAGGTTCTTCCATGTCTTTTCATGGTTTGATAGCTCATTGCTTTTTAATGAGGAATAATATTCCGTTGTCCAGATGTAGCACAGTTTATTTATCCATTCACACACTGAAGGACATCTTAGTTGCTTCTGGGTTTTAACAATTATGAATACAGCTTCTATAAACATCTATGTTCTGGCTTTTATGTGGACGTAAATTTTCAACTCCTTTGGACAAATACCAAAAAGTGTGATGGCCGGATCATGTGGTAAGAGTGCATTTTGTTTTCTAAGAAACTGCCAAACTCTCTTCCAGAGTGGCTGTACCATTTTGCATCCCCACCTGCAATGCATGGAGATTCCTATTGTTCCACATCCTCACCAGTATTTGGTGTTATTGTTTGGGATTTGAGCCAAACTAACAGGAGTATAATGGTATCTCATTGTTTTAATGTGCATTTCCCTGATAACGTATGATATATAGCATGTTTTCATGTGTTTATTTTCCATTTGTATATCTTCCTTGGTGAGGTGTCTGTTAAGGTCTTTGGTCCACTGTTAAATTGGACTGTTTCCTTATTGATGAATTGTAAGGGATCTTTGTATATTTTGGTACCAGTTCCTTATAAGATGTATTTTTTTGCCAATATTTTCTCCTAGTCTGTGGCTTGTCTTCTCATTCTTTAAACATTTTTTTTTTTAGTTTCTGGGCACAAGTCACAGTGGGGTTTGCACATGACTGATTCCATGAAAAACTACAAATAAAAAATCATTAAGTCTCTGGGCACATTTTGCTAGAGAGACTATAGGGCATAGTGATTAAGACAGTTTGTGTATGTCATCCTGGAGTGAGTATGGGGGCCACCAAATGCTTGGAGCTCAAATCCTGGTTATACACTTAAGTCCTGTGAATTTGGGACAAACTCCTTAACCTTCTCTGCCTCTGGCTCCTAACCTTCAAAACAGAGACAATACATGTAAGCATATTGAGAGGATATAAAGACATATATGAATGTATGTAAAGCACCTAGAACAGGGCCAACACTTAGTAAGCACTCAATAAATGTAGGCCGTGATTTGAATGCATCAATTCCCATATGGGTATTTTTGAAGATGCAGGAAAAAGACATTCCTACCCAGGGAAATCATGTCATTTTGTTGCAAGAAAAATGAAATGCAAGATACAGAAATGAAAAGTAAAAGTAAATACAGGCCATTTATGTAAACATTCCATATCCTCTAAAATCAAGCAAAAAGTCTGGAAGATAGTAGATTCTGAATACGTGTTTAATTAATACATCAATTATTTAACATAAGCACTAACCTGTGTGGCATGTAATTAAAGTGAAGGAGATATTGAAAATACAACAGTCTAAGATGACTTAATGAAAGAATGTAAGATGAAGCCAAGTCCTGCAGGACCGGGCCAGATTTGGATTAGGAAGTGGTAAGGAGGAGGCCCTTTAGGTAGGCAGAGCAGGCTGACAGATGGTTGGAAGGGACGAATGCATACATAAGACATGGAGGAGACTGGTCTGGCTGCCCAGGAAGTTACATAAAGAGCCGTACTGATGATGAATGTTGTCAGCTGCTATTTCCAAACCAGTTTGTTTATGTAGAAACATCAATGTTAAGAATCAGTTACTAGATTTCAACCCTCCCCAGATCTGCTTACTGAAGAGCTCCCTTCGAAATGACCAGGTGATCAATGAATTGAACTATTGTGTTCACCTTGGCGTTTACAGCTAGTTTCCTTCACATAACTTATGTAACTAATTTCTCCTTCCTGGGATGACTATTAGATATATTATTCTACTCTTGGAGGGAGGTAGTCAAAGGATGAATCGGGATTTTCTTTACATACCCAGCTGTAAGCAGTTCAAACAGCTTGGAGCAAAGTATTTAAACGTTTATCCCCCCCATTAAAGGTTAATGGGTTAAAATTGAATTTGATACACAACTAATCTGAAAAGTTATGCCCTCCCACAAACCTGTATGCAAATGTTCATAGAAACTTTATTTGTAATTATTAAAAACTGGAGGCAACCAAGGTGTCCTGCCAAGGGTGAATGGCTAGACTGTGGTATATCAACCACAATATTGTTATTCAACCATAAAAAGGGATAAGCTAGCAAGCCACAAAAAGACATGGCTACATCTTAAATACACACTGTGAGGTGAAAGAAGCTGGTCTGAAAAGGCTCCATACTGTATTTTTCCATTTATATGACTTTCTAGAAAAGGAAAACTATAGAGATTGTAAACAGATCAGTGGTTGCTAAGGGCATAGGATAAGGAAGGAGGGCTGAACAGGTGAAGCACTTGGGGATTTTTAGGGCAGTGAAATGATCTGCATGATACTGTAATGGTGGATACATGACATTCGCTCTACATTTGTTAAAACCCATATACTTTTACAATACAAAGAATAGTGTATGCAAATAAAAAGAATTATTTAGGAGGTCAGGGGACCCCAGGATGGAATGCAGAATGTGACAAAAAAAATTAAATTACAAATGCGTGAAACAAACTTGACAAAGAGGGTGTAGGGAAAGGTGCTGGCTTAAGGCGTTTGGAAACAAAAGTGGACACAATGCCCAGCCAACAGCAATTTGGCAGGTGGCCCAGGTCTTCTTGCTGCTGTTCAGTCTGTGGATCAAACCTGACCCCAGCCTCCTGAGGAAGCCTTTGCAGCTCCCTTGAAAGGAGACTTGGACGTGTAAGTTAGCCAATTACCCTAGATGACCCCAGGGTCCTTTGCTGAGACATGAGTCACATCTTAAGCATCTTCGGGGTGCCAGCTGGGGACATTCACTAGACCATGGTTATCCTATGCTACACAGGATTCCTGGGACTTCACTCTTCAAGTCCCACAACAATTAAGGGTGGCAAAGCAAGACAGAATTCAGCAGACACAGCAAAAAGCAGTGGCAGGTAGAGTGAAAACATGTCACTTATCCATGGTACCTTTCCAGGCATGCATACGTTCTGTGAATTCAATTAGTAAGCCAAGAGCTGTTTCAAGGCATGTCATCACTGTCACTGAACCACCCAGCTCACTGTGCCAATTGTTTTGAAATGTTAGGGCTGAACAGGTGAAGCACTTGGGGATTTTTAGGGCAGTGAAATGATCTGCATGATACTGTAATGGTGGATACATGACATTCGCTCTACATTTGTTAAAACCCATATACTTTTACAACACAAAGAATAGTGTATGCAAATAAAAAGAATTATTTAGGAGGTCAGGGGACCCCAGGATGGAATGCAGAATGTGACAAAAAAAATTAAATTACAAATGCGTGAAACAAACTTGACAAAGAGGGTGTAGGGAAAGGTGCTGGCTTAAGGCGTTTGGAAACAAAAGTGGACACAATGCCCAGCCAACAGCAATTTGGCAGGTGGCCCAGGTCTTCTTGCTGCTGTTCAGTCTGTGGATCAAACCTGACCCCAGCCTCCTGAGGAAGCCTTTGCAGCTCCCTTGAAAGGAGACTTGGACGTGTAAGTTAGCCAATTACCCTAGATGACCCCAGGGTCCTTTGCTGAGACATGAGTCACATCTTAAGCATCTTCGGGGTGCCAGCTGGGGACATTCACTAGACCATGGTTATCCTATGCTACACAGGATTCCTGGGACTTCACTCT